ACAGTTTTTCCTTGCCCAAAATATCCACCCAATCCCCATCTATGATGTTCATGCACAAGTTACTCTCTTAAAGAATATTCATTATGCAAAGTCTAGATCTCTTAAACAAAAATCCTTGATGAATAATAAACTGAGCAAAAGGATCAGTTTCAGAAGTAAGACAAAAATCTCAAATACTCTTAAAATCAGGATCACTCGCATAAGTATCTTTCAAAAAATCAAAAGAAGTGATAGTTGGGTAAACATTTACCAACAAATGAGATCTCATGCGTAAAGCATCAGCTACCTTGTTTAACACACCAGTTTTATATTTAATATGAAAAGTATACTCTTGCAAAAAAGAAATCACTTAGCATGCCTTTTATTTAAATTTTTTTTAGAGCCCAGAAAACGTAATGCCTCGTGACCAGTATTTAAAATAAATTCCTGTTGGATCAAATAACATCTCCAGAATTTCAAAACTTAAATAATAGCATAAAATTACAAGTCATAAGTAGAATATTTGGATCGAGCATCATTCAGCTTTTCACTAAAATAAGCAATAGATTTTTCCTCTTGACTAAGCACAGTACCAATACCAACATGAGAAGCATCACAATCAACTTCAAATTTTTTTTCAAATTTTGGTAAGCTAAGAATGAGAGCTTGACTCATTTTTGCCTTAATGATTTCAAAAATTTGTTCAGCCTGAGATGTCCACCAAAATATCTCCTTTTTCAAATAATCAGTAATTGGAGCAATTAGAGAACTGAAGTTCTTAATAAACCTTTGATAAAAAGAAGCGAAGCGATGAAATCCTCTCACCTCACTTATGTTCTTAGGAGTGGGCCAACTTTGAATTATCTCAATTTTTAATGGATCAACTTTCATCCCCTCAGTGGTAACAATAAAACAAAAAAATGTTAAGCTCGAAGTCATGAAGGAACATTTTTTAAGATTGATGTACAACTTTTGTTCCCTTAGAGTTTGCAACACTTGCCTCACATGATTAAAGTGCTCAGAAGGGTGAAAACCATAAATCAAAATATCGTTGAAATAAATCACAACAAATTTTTCAATAAAAGGTCTCAAAACATGATTCATAGTTCTCATAAAAGTGCTCAGAGCATTCGAAAGCCCAAATGGCATCACAATCCATTCATACAAACCTTCTTTAGTTTTAAAAGCAGATTTCCATTCATCCCCAAATCTTATTCTAATTTGGTGATACCCGCTTCTCAAATTAATTTTGGAAAAGATTTTAGCGCCGATTAATATATCCAGCATGTTATGCAGTTTAGGAATATGAAATCGATATTTAATGGTGATTTTATTTATTTCGCTATTATCTACACATATTCTCCATGTTCCATCATTTTTAGGAGTTAATAAAACATGCACAATATAGGGACTTAAACTGTTTTTAATCAAATCAACTCTTTTCTAACAAATCAGTCATTTGCTTAAAAAGTTCAGCATGCTCAGTTGGACTCATCCTGTAATGAGGAAGGTTAGGCAAAGTGGCTCCATGTATTAAATCAATATGATGCTGAATATCTCTCATAGGTGGCAAACCTATAGGCAATTCCTCAGCTGATATATCATAAAACTCATCAATTAAAGGTCAAATTTCTTTAGGAATTTGAAGAATATAATCAGTTTCCTTTCCCAAAACCAAGTAAGCTACCTCAGAATATTTCAAATTATTTGCGTTCAAAAGCAGTTCAGGAGTGTTTATTTTTGCAACCTTGTTATTTTTAGCAGACGAATCAGGCACATGTTTTTGAGGATAGAGATTGAACTCATTATTTTGAATCAAAGTATAAGTATTATTTTCTCTGTTGTGAATGGTTTTGTAATCAAATTGACAATGTCGACCCAACAAAATTTGACAGACTCCAAGAGTCACGACATCGCAAATAACTTGATCCTTAAAAGAACTCCCAATTGTTAAGTTGACAGAACATTGCTTTGTTATAGGTACTTCAGCCCCTTCTTTGAATCAAGAGATTTTATAAGGCTTGATAAGTGGTTTGGATTTTAACTTTAGCTTATCAACCATAATTTGTGACACAAAATTTCACAAACTTCCACTATCGATCATAAGAGTATAAATTTTTCCTTCGATCGTGCAAGTTGTTCCTAACATCTATCCCCGTTGTCAATTTTAGTTGTTAAGACTTGTCGTATTACCAACAACTATTCACCTTCATCTCCCTCAACATCAACTTTATCTAATTCAATGTCATTTTCAGATTCAGATTCGTTTTCTTCTTCTTCCTCTTTCTCTTCATCGTTTTTAATGAAAGTGTTTCTTGATGGGTTATTATTTTACAAGCTGTAGAAAGATGACCATAAAGCTCACATTTATAGCATGGTCCAATTAATCTAGGTTGTTCAGAAGGTTCAGACCCCATAATTCCCTTTCCTTTATCCGAATTTTGATTTTTAAAAGACTTAACTTTCACACCCGATGTTCCCACAGAAGTTTGAGATTGATTTTTAACCCCGCCAGTTGGTTGTCATTTATATGTTTCCGTTATCTTGTTATGACCCCTTTTCCTTTGATGTTGCTTTTCAAGTTTTAATGTCATACGATAAGCCTCATCAATTTTAATTACATGATGCAAATTCAGTTGATATTGGATTGTCCGCTTAAGACCGTTGATATACTTTGAGACAGTTTTTTCTTCAGACTCATCTAAGTCATTTCTCGATTGAAGTTTGTAAAATATTTCAGTGTATTCTTCAAAAGATTGATTTCCTTGTCGCAAATTATTAAATTCTTGAAAGAGTGTTGGTGCGTGATCAGATGGTAAGAATTTCCCTCTCATTTTTTTCATTCGTTCCCAGTTTTGTATTTTCTCTTTTCCATGCCTAAGTCTATTGTTTTGTAAGTTTTTCTACCACGTAAGAACATGACCAGTGAGTTTTAAACTTGCAAATTTTACTTTTCTGTTTTCTAGAATTTCTTTCCAACCAAAGAACTGATCCATTTTTTCTATCCATTTGAGGAATATATCAGGTTGTAATTTTTCCTCGAATTGTTGAACATCTATTTTAATCTCATAATCCTAGTTTCTTTGTCGCCTATTTTGGTTCTTAGGGACTTCTTCTTCGCTTTCAGATGTTTGGACATTATGTTGGTTGACATTTAAATTAGTAAGAGTGTTAGTCATTTCATTCATTTGATTTTGCAAGTCTGTTAATTGTTGCATCAAATTTTTCCAATCCCCTAGATTATTAGCCATCTTCGATTTAAAAAAAAAAAGACTCATCAACCAAGGATATTCTTACTTGCTCCGATACTAAACCTGACATAAGCAAACTAGAAAGAAAAGTCAAGTTGGAGAATATAAGGACAATAAAATCAAACTCTATTCACTTTAACTTGCAAACATCAAGATAAAAGAAAAGTTAAATCAAACGAAACAAAATTATAACATAAAAATGCTATCCTCAAAACAGTCAAGTGGTTTCCTCACATGCAACGAAGAGTAGGAAAATATATAAAAAATAGTGCTTATGCTTGCAAACCGAGGGTCCATCATTGCAAAAGGGTCCAACGTCCTACCAAACTCCTCCGGCAAATGTCTCCAAAATTAGCCAACAAAAAACTTCCAAATGCTCTAGAAGAAGGATACAGGTGGAGTGGAACTTGCGTAGATAAGAAGAGATTTGAAGCCAAGACGAAATAGAGAGGAGGAAAGGGGGTGGAACAAGTTCTCAAGCTTTTCCAAGAGAAGAAACCCTTAGGTATTTAGCAACTTTTTTCAAGTTCATCAACAACCTTTCCATGACAAAATCCTCTCATATATATAGCCAAAAAGGGGAGTCAAACAGTCAACATCAACCTCCAACCAAACCAATCAGGTAAGGGGAAGAAGAAGGGCCAAAAGACACCACAAAACTGCTCCCAAAAAATAGCACCGAAAATGGTTTGGAGAAGCCACGGGACACAGCCAGTGAACCACGGGAACACAGCCACAGAGGGACTCAAGGAGCCAACACAGGAAACGGGACAGAGAAGTCACGGGAAAACAGCCAAGGAGAAAACCGAAAAGACAACCAGCCCACAACAATAATTTATAAAGAAGAAACCAAGGAGACACAAGAATGGGAAGAAACGAGCTCCACTCCACATACCTTTATGAATTTATGAGCTAGGAAGTGCAATTATACCACTAAATAATAAACTAAACATCAGCTCAAGCATTAATGAGCTAGCACCAAGTAGATCTCAAAATTTCAGCTCACAATTAGAGAATCCAAAGCCCATCCCAAAAGCAGCCAAAGGCCCAAACCGGGAAACAACAAGCAGCCCAAGGACAAAAGGACCCAAATGCTAGCAAACCCAAGCCTTGCCATGCCCAAGCACGTCCTACCATGATCATTGGATGTTCTCCATCATTGGATAGCTTAAAAAAACATAAAACACAACTAATATTATTCAAATTACATCAAAATGAAATAAACCAAAATATAAATGCATCAATTCCCCCTTGGTGGGAGAATCTCATCGCTTGATGAGAAAGCTTCCACAATCAATTCCCCCCTGGTGGGAGAATCTCATCTCTTGATGAAAAAGCTTCCACAATCTTTTTATAAAGTGTTGGACTTCATTATGATTTCTCACATCTCACTGTAAACTGGGGATTTCACCCTATTCCTCGGGATAACTTGAAAAATTCACCATAAAAAAAAAAAAAATCCCTTCTCTCAAAAGAATAAGAGGTATTTTTAAACAATTATATGATAAAAAAGGACAACAAATTACTACACTTATCCTTAGGTAAAAAAGAAAAATATGGACATAAAATAAAATAAAGATAGAAGAAAAAGAAAACACCTAACTGAGAAGATTTAAAAGCTAACAAACATAAAACTCTATATCTTATATTGCATTATCAGAACAAATTTAGGCGGTGTTGAGACTCATCATGACTATTTTTTGTCATGGCTCAGCTTATGTTGATTTCTTTAATTTTTAACTTCATTTATTATATCATTTTAAATAGCAGAGAAGTCACTGCTATTGCCGTCTACTGGAAGTTCTTGTGAATGTCTGGGCTTATCATAGTGGCAGACGAATGTTTTACCTGGAACCAAACTCCGGCAATCTTGAAGAAAATCATCCCATCGGTGAACGGACAATGTGGGCGAAATATTTCAGCCCTGCATTGATTAAAAACATGGATGAGGATTTGGCAGAGGAAGCTGATGACAAAATGCATTCTAATGGAAGATGGCTCTGGCCTTTAACTGGAGAAGTGCATTGGCAGGGGATACTGGACAGAGAAAGGGAGGATAGATACAGGAAAAAGATGGAGAAGAAAAGGAAAATTAAGGAAAAGTTATTAGATAGGCATAAGTATGGATACAAACAGAAAGCTCTAGGAATTCCCTAGTCTATATTGGTATATAAATGAAAAAATTTTGTTAGGATATTTTCATGGATCTGCTATCATATTCTTTCCCACAGTTAGCTCTTACCTCTGAAAAGAATTTAGGTAATTTACTTCCTATATGCTGTAATTTCCTATTAATTTATTTCTATTTCTTTTAATTATATTTCTTTTATCAGCTAAACAGCAAAAAAATCATCATTTTTATATTTCTCATTTTAACTGACGCTAGTGTACTTGGTGTACATTCAAATTTTCTATAAGAAGTTACTCTCGAAATGGGAGCGTTTAAGCACTTTTTTTTTGAACGTTTCCTGTACTTTGTGTTTGGTTTATATGTTAGTTTACATTGTGCAAGTTTTTTATCATTTTAATACGAAATGAGTAGGAACTAAATGATGCTGATAATTTTATTTTTTTCTGTTGGAATTTCATTATTACTGTGCAACTATTTTAATGCTAGAAATGATTAGAATGGCTCAAAAGAATATTAGGGATAATTGATTAAGTCTTCATTTGAGATGATTATCTTATTATTTTTTATAGCAGTTTTATAGTACGAAAATTAAATTTTTTATATTTGAAATCTATTTTAAGAAGCAGTAAAAAAGCATCTTCAATGAATCCTAAATTGTGAGCTTAGTGCAAAATACGCATTGTCTCTGTCACGAAAAGATTGTATAGGAAGTAGTAAAATAGTCTGATGATATAGAAGTAAAATAAATTCATACTTTTCTAGTATTATGATTGGATCTCTTCTAGCTTTATTCTTTTTTTATCTCAATACTGTTATTTTCATCATCATGTTTAGTGATTGACTGAATAATAAACAAAATTGCTTTCGTAACTATTATTATATTTCGTTACTTGCTGGTTGGGGTTTCAAGCTTTGCTTCGTCTCAAATTATTATCATCTCTAACATGATTTTTATGTGATCTCCTGAGAAGAGATAGATTATTTAATTTACTTTTTTATCATGAGAAGAGCTCTTTTTTTTTAACAATTAATCAATTAATTTTGATTATGAGAAGAGCTCTATACAACACAGCATAATAGGAGATTAGGTTTGGAGGTTTCTTGGAAAAAAAATCATAATTATTGAACGGAAAAAATATGAGGGTAAGATATCTAATGTTAGAAGCTATTATGAATAATAAAGGTTCTGATTCCATTGAATAAATAATACTTTTATTGTTTATTAGACAATTTGATGCCATATCTTAGGATTTTTTGTTTGGTTTATTTATTTAATCCTAACAAAAAATATATGGTATGTTCGTTTATAGGATTGAACTTAAATCACTCTTTTTTTTTTTCTTTTTCTTTTTTTTTTCTCTCTATTTTTTAGCATCTATTTGGGACAACTGCAACAATCTCTAAAAAATTAATTTTTTTTTTAATTTTTTGTTAATTATATTTTTCGCTAAAAAAATCAAATAATAAGTTTATTACAATTATCATACTTGAAAAAATTTAATTGTATGAAAATTTCTCATTAGATAAATTTTAAGAAAACATTAAAAAAGTGTAAACAAAGGCAAATTTCAGAAAAATAAAACTATTAAAAAGTTATCACAATTAGACCTTTACTGTCGTCATTTTTGTTCAAATTATCACTGCAACTATAGTCTCAATTACACCACCACTTACCATCCACAAGAGCCACCTCAAAACCCCGCGAGGAGCTGATCTCTCATCTAATTATTTCAATTGCATCCCCAACTTGCTCCTGACGAAACATAGGCTTCATTTGGGACCGTTTTCTTATTATTTTTTATAATAATTTTCTAGCACCAAAAATCTTTGAAAGCAATGGAAAAATAGTAGTTTAAAATTGGCTCAAATAAAACTTTAATTAATATTTTTAATTATAATAATTACAAATTTTATTAAATTAAAATCAATCTATGATTTATGGAATAAATTTTTGAAGTTTTTTTAAATCTATATGCAACGGCGGAGTGAGGGGGCCTGCGGGGGCACGTGCCCCCTCCGAAATTTTTTTTTTTATTACTATCTGGCGATTGGGGGGACTAGCGGCAGTGGCAGAGCCAGAAAATTTATTGAGGGGGGGCCTAAATTATTTTATTAAAATCTTCCCTCAACTTTTTTCATCCGGGCTTGGGACCGGCATTGACAGTTTTAAAAATTTTGGTTTAAAAGCAAACTACTAAACTTAAAATGAAGTACACTTACAAGTAACAACTTATACCTTCTATTCTTCATATTTTGAAATAACTGAATAATAGCATCATTATCAATATAATCTAAATTTTCTTTTTCAATATAAGCAATTAAAGTATCGTTCATCCATTGATCTCCAATTCGATTGCGTAGCCGATTTTTTATGATTGCCATTGCAGAAAATGCTCTTTCATCTCCTACTGTTACAACGGGTAGTACCAATGCCAACTTCAATAACCTAAAAATAAGACGATATAGTATTTCCTTTCTGCTTTGAACCATTTTTTCAGCAAGACTTCCTATATCCTTTAATAATGAAAATTGTACATCAAGCCGCATATCCATAATGTAAGTTTCTAGCTGATTATCAAGAATCATCAAATCCGAAGGAGTGAAATCACTTGGATATAAGTTTGCCATTTTAATCAACTTTTCTTTGTTGAATGCACAGAACAAATTTGATGGATTTAAACAAGCAATGCACAAAAGTAATTCAGTATTAGCTTCTGTGAAACGATTATTCAACTATTGTAGTTGCATATCAAGTACTGTGTAGAATATATCAACTCGGTAATGATGTAAATTTGTCATTTCTTGAAGTCCACGTCATGATCGTCCGCGAGCAACCCATTTATCATTTTGATTCGGAGTGATAATTTTGTGTTCAACACAAAATAATGACACTTTTTTAAAGAAGTCATCCCACTTATTATCTCTCATATCTTGTAATCTGATTTTTGATATTTGAACTAAAGACATAGCATTTACGATGTCCTGATCTTTCCTTTTTAAAGCATCTGAGAGTTCTGCAGTGATTCCAAGTATGTCTTTCATTAAGTGCAAACAAAAAGAAAAGTCAAAAGATTGCATTGATTCTAATAGTGCAAAAGCTTCCCCTCTCTGTTCAGAACTTATGCCATCCTCCAAAACTATTTCAAGCATATCAACAACTGAGGAGAACATTGTAATTAATCTGATTAGTGACTCATAATGAGAACCCCATCTAGTTTCACCAGCACGCCGTAAAGATATTTCTTGATTTAATCCTCGTCCAGTGAACACCTCACCCTTTTGTAATGCACTTAATGTCATATCGTGTTGTTTATCTCTTAGTTGATTACGACGTTTGCATGAGACACCCACAATATTCATCACATTTGAAATTATAGTAAATAATAGTGCAATATGAACATGATTTTTCGCAACTGCAACTAACGCTAACTGAAGCTGGTGTGTGAAGCAATGAATATAATATGCAGAGTTAGTATCATTCAGAAAAAGTGCTTTTAGGCCATTAAATTCTCCACTCATGTTGCTTGCACCATCATAACCTTGACAACGAATTTTAGAATGCGACAAATTGTAATTTGAAAGGATTTGTTCAACTCCTTTTTTGAGACATCGAGCTGACGTTTCAGGAACGTGTACAATACCCAAAAAACATTCAATAATTAGTCCTTTCTCATTCACATATCGTATAACGACAGCCATTTGTTCTTTCCCTGACACATCACGAGCTTCATCAACGAGAATAGAGAAGAAACTGTCACCAACTTCTGCTTTTATGTAGTCTGTAATTGCAATAGATATGGCTCTACAAATATCTTTCTGAATATCAGGTGCAGTTAATTTCAAATTCTCTAGAGCATTCTTTAATACAACATTACTTATATCTTCATTATGTTCTGCTAAAAATTGCAATAGCTCAAGAAAATTTCCTTGGTTTTTGGAATCAAAACTCTCATTATGCCCGCGAAATGCTAAACCTTGTCGTAGAAGGAATTTTACGCAATCAACAGAAGAATTCAAGCGGACACGATATGCTTTTGTAGCTCAATCAGATTGTAGCTGGAAGGCAAAGTTTGTATGTTGATCATGTTTCATTAAATCCTCACAATTTTGCTGTGCATTATTATGAGCACTATTAGGTCCTCCAATATGAAGATCAAACCTATCAGGTTTTTACCAATTTGAGAAACCATTTCTACCAAATGCATCCTCTTCTTCTTTTCCTCTTCCTTCTACTCCAAAAAGATAACAATACAAACAATATGCTTTATCATTCAGAATACTATACTCTAACCAACTAGAGTATCTATCATACCATCT